CCCCCCCCCAATCACCGGTGAAAGAAACTGCGGCAGCTACAACCACTGTACGACGAGTACGCGGTTGTTACAGCTCACAATGATGGTGATGCTGACGATAGCTTTGGCTACTCACAAGGCTATTCACAACGTGCTTGCTTATCGTTCGTTCGATTCAAAGCGCGATGTATGTCAGTGAACACCTCTGAACATGCAGAACCTAGTCAGTGTTACGCTCTATACGTATGGGAAAACCTCCATAAATATCCGGTATTTTACTCCGCATTCAATTTTGGAGCTTTTTAGGCTGAATATCTCCGTCAAACTTGAAAAAAATACTTGCCCGTTGGTTGATATGCCTAGTTTTTACCCACAGTCCCAGGTACATAAGGAAACCATATATAAATTCAACAATGGACAGCACTCAAATTCTACTCTTTTTCCAGGTACTAATTACCTTAGAATCACATCCAAAAAAGGCCAAAATCCAAAGAGTCTAAGAAAGTCTTTTTTCCCGCCACGCAAATCGGTCTGATGGCGTATACTACTAACAAAACATGCTACCAGTACTTCCGGTCAAGCAGTTTACAGCGCCGTTCTTGCGTCTGGTGGAAGGTTGATTCGGATGTACCTTCTTAGAGTGTCCTGGTTGCGAGATAGCCGAAGTGGTTAAAGCGCGAATTTACTGATCGGAAGGTCTGTGGTTCGAACCCGCCCTCTGCCTCTCGACTTCTCCTGCCTAGGCTTGGCAACCTGGCAGTATCCCAGCCCTCGTGCAACCTTCGGGTGGTGTGGTAGTTAGGCTCAGAAAGGGTGCTACAGCCGAACGGGTGTCCTGGACAGCTCAGCAGAACGCTTGAGGAAATTCACTTTCTGAACAATCTGTGCAAATAATAGGTTCACTTTCGTGCGTGATGGCTTGTAGCCGCATTCAACGACGCTTTTTTCACCCGTAGCTATGAACGAATGCCAAAATCACGTGATAAGGATGATTAATTCCCAAGCAAAATATGATATGTGCAATCTAGACAAGTGTGGTAAAGTTTGCTGATGTTGAGACCTGTGTCAAAAGCGAAAAGTATTCTGTCGGACCACCTGGGGATATTTCCACGCTGCCAACGTAGGCTGCTTGAAAACAATTTAAGCGAAAAAAACACAGAAGCTATGAGTCAGCATAAAATTTCGTCAGCATCGTTGTGAATATGCCCAAATGTGCCGTAATCTCCATCCGCCATCAAAGAGTCGACTTTGGCAGTATATTTATCAAATGAAAGGTAACTTAATTGAGCTCTTATGAGTTCTAACGATAGAAACCCGTCCCCTATATGGTGGTGTTTAGTCAAGCAAAAAGGAGCAGAGTAGTTGGCTAGAGAGAGAGAACATTTTGATGGGAAAGAAGTTTTAAATTGTCTTTTATGTAATTCATTAAGACATTATCTGGGGTGATTGAAAACTTTCGTTTTTGTTCCACAATAAAAATTTCCACGCATCGGCATGCACCCATCTACTTAATGTGGCGATAAAACTTACCAGTCATCTCACAGCGATTTCATGTCAAAGTCGGAAGTCGTCGCGGACATTTCTGCCTCAATCTCATATGGTTCCAACTGACGAGCAAGCGTTGGTCTTGGAGTCACTGTGCGTTCGATTATCAGGATGTCGGAGTCTATCGAGGCAGTACTTGATGTAGCCATGCTTCGCGGACGCGTTCGAACAACCAGTTCTTGGATTTCATTAACGATATCATCTACCTGCAACAGAGATCGGAGGTGAGAAATTGAAAACTTTGCTGTTTTGGTGACTGTGACTTTATACTAAAGACCAGTTTAATTTGCAGACAGGATGGAGTCAGCTGATTCGTGCTACGGAATCATCTCACAGCGATTTCATGTCAAAGTCGGAAGTCGTCGCGGACATTTCTGCCTCAATCTCATATGGTTCCAACTGACGAGCAAGCGTTGGTCTTGGAGTCACTGTGCGTTCGATTATCAGGATGTCGGAGTCTATCGAGGCAGTACTTGATGTAGCCATGCTTCGCGGACGCGTTCGAACAACCAGTTCTTGGATTTCATTAACGATATCATCTACCTGCAACAGAGATCGGAGGTGAGAAATTGAAAACTTTGCTGTTTTGGTGACTGTGACTTTATACTAAAGACCAGTTTAATTTGCAGACAGGATGGAGTCAGCTGATTCGTGCCACGGAACAGTCGATGAATAAGTGCATATATGTAATGCACTACTCATAAGATTGCTGGAAACTCTTCGACAACCCACGATCTGTTTCGTCATTCATATAGAAACATCATAAACGGGAAATTTAGCTGGGCTACAGATGAGACACCCGTCAAAATCAAATAGGCATGCTGATGAATGTATAAGTCGGTGATTAAATGCCTGAGGACAGATAACACGTACGTAATGTTTCAAGTCAGGATAGATTTTAGGCTGACCACTTCCGCCGCTGAATGATCAAGAACCAATAAATACACACTACCCGGATAGAGGAGGCTTAGTGTTTAGAGCAAACACTGCACTGGCTCGTCAGTACCCAAAAACAAGAAAGATCACTTTTTCATTTGCTACCAAAAGGTTGGTTGATCAATCAATAAAGAGAAACGATTATTTCAGATTCGTTTTAGACAAATAATGAATTGCCTGATTGCATCGATGTTAGTGTAAAGACAAACCTGTGGGTTCTGGTGATTGAACAAGATGGTGAATACTGAGGCCAAACCAACTGAGTAGGTGTTTACCTGCCCTTTTGGACCGAACACACTACTCATATGGTTGCTGAAAACTGCTTGACAGCCTACGACGGGTTTATCAGTTCGGCGCATTTCCTGACTACCAATCACTGTGCTAACTTACGATCAGGCATTGACCCCAAGCTTTGTTTTGTTTTCACGTCCTGAGACATTAATGAGTTTTGCTTGTGTAGCTTCTCCATGGTGGTATGTGAACCGATATGCACGGTGGAATTTGGCAACAAAAGGTTCTCTCCCCCAACTACGGGCAATGGTAACCATTGAGTCAGGTTGGGGATCCGGACACCCGCAGTATTTCACGTCCATTTTTGCTCCAGGACTAGGCATTTCAATGTCTAAGTAGTGGACTCATCCCCTTTTAAAGGGAAGTTCCGCACTGTCACGATTAATTGGCCTTGTCCTCACTTCACCATCTTGTCTGGTTGACTGTTAAAGGTATTCATTTTACAGCCATAGATCAGCTTCAAACGAATCTGGCCTGCAGATCCATTTTGCTTGAGAGAAAAGTTTTGAAGAAATTGCGCTTCTGCTTCAAACAGTTAAAGCACTAGAAATGCTTGTTCACGCAAACTCTTCGGTAAATACTTTGTGAGGTCTATTTGCGATGTGAGAGACTTTCAACAGTTTGTTCTTCTGTGTCTACTGCGAGATCGCGATGAGTGCTATTGAGAAGTTGAATAAACTCCGTATCTATGGTGGCCTACCCCTGGAAATGGTCGGTATTCAATCGATGTTACTAGCTGTGGCACAAGGTCGTTCAATCGTCGCTCTAACACGATCCTAAAACGTTTGCAGAAAGTAACCTGAATGGTCTGCTCCTGATTACTCCATAAATTTAGCTGAAGGGCAGATTCTGGAGACTGGGGAGTTAAGCTGAACGTACTCTGAAACGCTGATGTCACACAAAATATCGGACTTCATGCAGAAGAACTTCAGTATTTATCATTTCCAAATGCTCAGCTGGGTCTGCGGAATCCTCGATTCAATAGCTGCCGAGTTTTCAAACAGTTCGCTTCAAAATACCAACCGGACACCACACAAATTGACGTGGTTAGAATCGGTCGGTTTGGAACCTGATGTTTGTGTTTCCGGAGGTCACCAACCAACTGGCACTACACGTCCGTGGGCATTCTACCTGCATGTAGGCAGAAAGTTGTTCCTCTACTCTCCCCGATGACTCCCCTTGCCTAATAATCCAAACTGTTATATCTGCTGATTCGTCAGTCTATGATATCTGCTGCTAACCCGCTTCAGTGCCTAGTGCCGGAGAAAAAGACTCAAAGAAGGGAATACAACAACCATATTCCGAACAAACGAGTTCGAGAGCATGAGCGCGTGCGAGTGCGAGAGCAAAAGTTACAACGGCCCCATGCTACTTAAAGGGGACTTTCTGACATTGATCCAGGCTGTCTGATAGGCGTTAGTGAACACCCATCAACATCGATCGTGCCTCTATAAAATGCCTGAACACTGATCACTTTCGGTTGTGCTTCTGTGACGTGCAAAAACGCTCATCAGCTTTTGTTGAATTGATTGAATGATTGACTGGCCTGGATGCTTGCTGGCTTTCCTGTTGAGATTTTGGTCGAGCAGTAGGCTCCGAGTGTTCTGAGGTTACTTTCAGGAATCTGACCTTCCTGATGGAAACATTCAATGGTCGTTTTCAAATTGAAAGCAGCTCATCCATATGAGCCTGTTTTGTTCATTAGGGCAGCATCCGAATGCTTGTCGTTATTCGGACGATGATACCTTTGGATTTGAGCTCTTCTAATATAACAGGGTTTGGACACACTCACAACATGAAGGTCCGACAGAATTGTTGAACCTGATGTTTGCGGGAATCCTAGATAACTGAGGAGGCACATCCAGTTCTCAAGCTTTGAAATTTTGAAACAGCAAAGTGCTCACAGTAACACTGGATTCGCACTGCAGATTTGATAGAACAGTCCTGAAAGGGTTGGATGGTCACTTGGCAGTACATCTTGCAACGAATCTTCTTTAAGTCTCACATTACACTAAGCGATTTAGCAGGAAAGGTTGCTTAGCAGACCTGGATTTGTGATAATATACAACTCCCGTCAAGTTTGAAAAACTCTCAGCCTAAAATGAAGCATCTCCCATTGCACGATTATTAGAAACGATCAACTTATGCACTTGAAAATGTTTTTATCGATTATAAAAATTCATCACCAACTAACTTATGACACAAATTTCACAGACTCCACACCAGCTGTCATTCAGTGGATCCTTCTTCACGTGCAAAATTGACTCACTGCAAAAGAGCAACTAGTCTTCGGTCGTGATAAAGGCCTAGCAAAACGAAGATATCTCTTCCTGTCAGTGAACAGGGATCCACTAAATGACAGCTGGTGTGGAGTCACAAGTTATTTGGTGTGATTTAAATCCGACAAACCATTTCTAGATGCATAAGTTGATCGTTTCTATTAATCGCTTAATGGAAAATACTTCTTTTTAGACTGAGAGGTTTTTAATTTTGACGGGAGTTGCATATTACCTCAAATTCAGGTCTGTTAGGCAACCTTTTTCTGCCAAAACGCTTTTTCAGGAATCTGACCTTCCTGATGGAAACATTCAATGGTCGTTTTCAAATTGAAAGCAGCTCATCCATATGAGCCTGTTTTGTTCATTAGGGCAGCATCCGAATGCTTGTCGTTATTCGGACGATGATACCTTTGGATTTGAGCTCTTCTAATATAACAGGGTTTGGACACACTCACAACATGAAGGTCCGACAGAATTGTTGAACCTGATGTTTGCGGGAATCCTAGATAACTGAGGAGGCACATCCAGTTCTCAAGCTTTGAAATTTTGAAACAGCAAAGTGCTCACAGTAACACTGGATTCGCACTGCAGATTTGATAGAACAGTCCTGAAAGGGTTGGATGGTCACTTGGCAGTACATCTTGCAACGAATCTTCTTTAAGTATCACATTACACTAAGCGATTTAGCAGGAAAGGTTGCTTAGCAGACCTGGATTTGTGATAATATACAACTCCCGTCAAGTTTGAAAAACTCTCAGCCTAAAATGAAGCATCTCCCATTGCACGATTATTAGAAACGATCAACTTATGCACTTGAAAATGTTTTTATCGATTATAAAAATTCATCACCAACTAACTTATGACACAAATTTCACAGACTCCACACCAGCTGTCATTCAGTGGATCCTTCTTCACGTGCAAAATTGACTCACTGCAAAAGAGCAACTAGTCTTCGGTCGTGATAAAGGCCTAGCAAAACGAAGATATCTCTTCCTGTCAGTGAACAGGGATCCACTAAATGACAGCTGGTGTGGAGTCACAAGTTATTTGGTGTGATTTAAATCCGACAAACCATTTCTAGATGCATAAGTTGATCGTTTCTATTAATCGCTTAATGGAAAATACTTCTTTTTAGACTGAGAGGTTTTTAATTTTGACGGAAGTTGCATATTACCTCAAATTCAGGTCTGTTAGACAACCTTTTTCTGCTAAAACGCTTAGTGTAATGTGATACTTCAACAAGAACTGTTGCAAGTCATTCCTAGAGTGACCATCCAATACTGTCAGGACTGTACAGAGACATTCCCTGATGCCGCGCTGAAGACCAGTACTTAATAAAACAGCCAATCTATATTTCCTGACTATTCTCAACTTTTTGCATTCTACGTATTGAACGATGCCGGTTACTCTTCCTTGCTTCCATTGAGTGTCGAGGGTTAGTCGCAATCCACCTATCAGGAAAACTCGCTGAAAAAAACTAGTGTGATTTGAGCAACATCTTCGTTGAAAAACTTTGACCAATTATAAACCCGTTTTCTTTTTCAGAAAACACAAAGGCTCCCTTGGGGCAGGTCAGATGAACGAAATTATCCGTCCAGCAAACATCTTGTATTTAAATCCACAAATTTCGTTTTAAGCTTGTTGCTATGATGCAAACTGCCTGAGAGCACTCCTGACTTAAAAAGTCCAATCTACGGACAACGCTTTCACCACTGTTGGCGTCTTCATGCCCTGACTTATATGGATATTGTGAAAAGGTGAGTCTGTGTACTGATGCATCCCACCTGTTGGTTTGACGACTCCAGAGAGTCTGTTCAAAATCCCAGGTCATTTTTGTAACTAAGATTGCTTGTAAAAAGTATGACTGGACAATATTTCGCCGTATTCTCAGAATTAAGGTAGAATGTTTCATCAGGATTTACTGTTTGTGATATTCGAAAAAAGCTGATGTGTTCAAGAAAAGACGAGGTGAATACTCATTCGAAGGAGAGGTCTTAGGTCAACAACTCAGTCGCCAGAAGAAATCCCTCTTTGGCAACTCACAATAGGCTTGCTTGTCTCCTCTGAAAGGTGGTTTGTTTTATGACAATGTAATGCAAGTTTTTCGAACACAGTATGCCTTTCTTTAGAGTTATTCTGCGATTCGTTCATTTGGAGTTTTCTGTTGTTAACTGACTGAAGACGGAGTCAATCATTCATGGTGATTCCAGCTCACTGTGGGATGTATGAGAATAAGCGATAAACTGTGGCTCCGGACAGTTAATTGTAAGTAGTATGTGCACCGACAACAAGTCATATTAACAGATTACGTTTACATTCACTTGCGTCGTTGTTTGGGACGCTTGCCTCTCATCTCTTTGGCTGTTTTGTAACCTAAGCTCTTTTGTGACAATTCATGTGAAGTTCACAGACTAAAAGTTCTAGCTAGAACGGGCACGAGATCTTGCTTGACTGTGTGGTATTTCCAGAGAGCCACTCACATTTGGATATGTAATACGCGTCAGTTGACTTAATTGCATCCTAGAACTAGTCAGAACAGTTAGTTCTGTGCATTTGGATCGATTACTTATGCTTCATGAGGTGTGCATAAAGGTACCATATTCATTTTATTCTTCTGTATTACAAGGTGAAAGAAGTTGGCGTTGTGCAAACCAAAAACAGCCGGTTACCATATTCTAAGTATCTCAAGGTCACAGCCTACAGTATTATCGATCAATTTTCAAACCCAGAAAAACTGGTTCAAGTCAGATGTGGGTAGAAGACGGTGGTAATTCAAACAGACGCTTGCCCACCTTAATTACGCCTTTTCAGACTTACTGATAGCATGGGATGATCATAATGGGTTTCAGTTCCACATCATTAGATACGCTGAAGCAGTTTCTTTAAGTTCTTCATACCTGTGTGAAAAAGTTCCAGATTACAACCGTATTATCCAGAGAGGAAGAGACAATCTGTAGGGAATCGAACTGCAGGCGAAAGACACGACTCTTATGTTCGGCCAGTGTGATCGCGCAGAGCTGTGCACCCGAGGTGTTTCGATCCATTGCATCCTGAAGGTTCCATAGTCGAATTTTTCTGCATCCAAGATGCATAAAGGAGGACGGAAATCAGAACATTCATCGTTTTAGAATGTCCATTCTATGGTACAATACATGTGGCTTACCACTCATGTCCTAGCATGAGTACGCTTCACTTTTGTGATCTAGTGTGCAGTGTATGGCTGCAAAAAAATATAAAATCTAACCAAGATAAAATCTGTCCAACGGAGAATTTAGAAAACGCTTTCGGAGCCAGCCATTATGGTGAACACAGGAAGAATCACATCAGTTCGCACATATCAGTGTTTTGAAGATGTAAGAAAGGTTAGGATAGTTTACATAAAGTATTCTTAAGCTGATAATACAATGCCGTCACCGAACTAACGATCGTTGGATTCAGACTGACCTCCCTAGCACATTTTCTGTTTAATTTGCTTCAATTAAATATTAATGAGCGTGGTTCTCAAACGAATCAAAGTATACTTGGTACCGAATGAATCTTGTCAACTTCTAAGTTACCGACCACTGAGGCTGAATTCGTGTGTGTATCTGGCTTCAAAATGCCTTCAATCACAAAAATTAATTAACCAGTAAAACTGTTTGTGTGAAATAAATCTCCTTCGTGGTATTTAAATTTTGTGTAATGCAATCTACACCCAAGGACTGTTTTCGTGACTGATTAAATTCTGATTCAGTGACGTAGTAAGTCGCGAAGACAATCGTGACATGTAAATCAGCGCCATCCAAAATCCGAACAGACGAGTATTGGGTTATACAAACAGTTTGGGCAACTTTCTTTGGTTTATTAATTTTATATATATATATATATATATATAATAAAAGCCCTACGGTGGAAAGAAGAGAAAAAGAGTGGGTGTGGGAGGGGACCTAGTTCTGGCATATGTCAAACACTCTGAGGTGCCCCCTACTCCAACCGCTCAATCAGACAATCTGGAAAGGAACTGACAGCACGAACGTCACTGACATCGACTAGTCACCATTTCTTGCAACGTCTCCAGCCAAACACAGACGGGGTCACAGAGACCGCGTCCTGGAAGGCTTGCAACACTAACAACACCCAAACTCTTCGTGATCCCTTTCAAGCCCTTCTGCCAAGTCATGTGCTGTCCACCTCGCGGTTTGCGCTATCCTGATGGAGGCAGGGAGAACAATACTCGTCTCGGTAGACAGTGTTTCGGCGTGCGTAGCACATGACCGAGCCATCGTAATCGATGGTGCTGGATGTTTTCCCGGATTGAGGTACCTGCAACACAACCAAATATCTGTTTTCCAATCAACTCGTTACTAACACGCTGACGCCATCCAAAACTAGCCACGCTTCTGAGGCATCGGTGGTCGAAAACCTGAAGACGCCCCACACCATCTGTCCGCAGAGGCCATGTCTCGCACTCATACAACAACACAGCCCTTACTGTAGCCTGGTACACGCGACCTTTTAGATCCAGTGAGATCCCTTTTTGACGCCACCAGTGACGCAAATTAGCAAACGTGATTCGAGCCTTTGAGATTCTTTCACTGACTTCATCAGACGCACTTTCGATGTATGTAAAGCTTTCCACAATCTCCAGTGATTCTGCTTGAATTGTAAGGGATATGTTCGCAGATGGCACGTTCTGAAACATGACTTTGTACTTGGACGGTGCAAGATGCATGCCAAAGGATTGTATGATGATGGTCAGTCAGATAGGCGCATGCCAAAAGATTGTATGATGGTGGTTAGTCAGATACGTACACTGAATCAAACCCAGTGGTCGGTAACTAAGTGGTTGGTAGGATTCACTCGATAATAAGGGTGATCTGATTCGTTTGAGAACCGCGTTTATTAGGATGTGCTTGCAGCAAATTAAGCAGACATTATGCTACTAAGGTCAGCCGAGCTGACGACAATGTTTTGGCTGTGCGTATGGCGATCGCAGACAAATCGACTTGACCCCGTTATAATCAGGCCCATTGCACTTCGTCTTATAAAAGCACATGAAGACCCGGGAACAACAAATAGAATTCCCGCCGAGAATGGGTCGTGTGGACTACATTTTCAAAACGGATCGGGTGTTAGGGCAGCGGAATTCCACTAGGCGGCTTACGAACTTCAAGACTTCAAGACTTCAAGACTTCAAGACTTCAAGAATGCGTTGGATTCCGTCGATAGATTGTTTTTTTCCCAACACGTTTGCGCAGCAGGTATGCCCCAAAAGCTAGTTAATAGCATACGCTGCTTGTTTTTACATACTTGTGGGCGCTTAAGTGTTTACGGTGAGCTTCCCTACGATCATCGATAAACGGCAAGAGTGTCCACTCTCTCCATCCAGTCCTTTGGCACCTGCTTTGCGCCCACAAAATGCAAAGTCATGCTGCAGGATGTACAGTCTTTGAGCACGTCAAGCAGTGACACTGGAGCTTCTGAAAAGCCATACATAGCCTGGAAGTTGCATTGTTTCCGGTGATATTGTGACTTGGTTTGAGCGCACGAAAACTTTCATTACCTACTCAAATCTTCTTCAAGAAATCCTAGTGTCGTCCGCCTTTTACATTGTGACTCTCACGTGACTAAGTGGGTGGGAACATCGGCGTTGAATTTGATGAATTCCGTACTTCTTTGAACAGTTATGATATCCTTAGAATAAGACCAACTGATAACATAAATTTGTCCAAATCCCACGGTACTCACTGGACCTTTGTAAGATCTACTGGGTAGAGGTCGTTAAGACAAAATCAAGGAGCTTTTCAATGAGACGTTGTCTAAAAAACATTATATATTTTTATGGCATGATTTTACCGGACTAAAAGAAACCACTGTGACCGCTTTCTCGTAGGACTTGCTATATTTTTGTCGTGTTTTAGAAGAAAACAATCTTCGTATATCTCTGTAATGTACTACTCATAAGGTTGCTGAAAATCCGTTGACAGCCCACGACCGGTTTCGCCCTTTTTGGAGCTCATCAGGTAGGCGCAGTCAACATTATGTTCCACTTGAGTACATCACAAACGAGAGATTCAGCTGTGTTCCAGGTGAGCCTCTTGAAAAACCAAATTAGTTTGCAAATGAGTGTATATTCGCTAAAACGATCTTCGGTTTGTCTCGTAATGTACTGAAGGACTGTTTTAATAACAGCTACCAAGTCAAAGCACAAAGTCGAAAAGCTCTGTACAAAAAAGACAGCCTTACTCTTAACAGAAAAGAAACCAATTACGAAAAAATCGAAGGCGTACCCGTCATACGATCCACAAACGATACGTTGCGTGTCAAACCGAAGACATCGTACCAAGTGTTTGTGACCTTCAAGTATTCTCAAACATAAGCCCGTTTCCACAGTCCAAATACGCACTGTCAAATCTGAACTGCCAGTGATCGCAATGCCCTTGTCGTAGTGCAGGCACGTGACGCCGCGCCTGTGGCCAACCAGCGAACGGACAAACTCATGAGCTTGAAAGTCCCAAACCTGCGAATGAAAGAAGAGGATCGTCAACAGGGTCATTACCGTCGAATTCACCCGGACAGTTGTACCTTCAAAAATCACAGAACAGGTGTTTATTTAAAAATTTCGGGAAATTATGTCTACGACGTTCCACACATTGAAGACAGCATTGAAAAAAATGGAGAAAGTGCTTTTGAAAATATGGCAGATTTCAAATGTACTTTATGAATCAGGACAGCCGGTATCAGGTGTTGGCGGAATACTAAAGAAGTGATGAGTAGTACACAGCAACGATGTGACTTATCCACTCGCAGTCTAGGATTTCTAAAGACCCGGACTATCTTTAGTTCATCACCCACTAAAAATGCTCACAACCAGCATCTTCGCAATTACAGCAAGCCAAGAGGTTTCTGAACTGAGAACTACACTCATTTGCACATTAGGTTGGCTTTAACGGAAGACTCAAATGAATTCCCGGCTAAATCACTTGTTTGTAGCATTCTCTAGCTAAGTGTGCTCAAACAAACACCACCTCATGCTTTATTTCTTGCAATATTCGATAGGCTGCAGTATATTTTCCCGGTGGGACACTGTCAATAAAATTGCTGAGAACTCTTCGACACCGAGGGACATCTTCGTCCTTCTTAGAGTTCATCAGGTAAGCATAGTTCCCGAGTTCCGATCAACTTGACCACCAAATTGTACGCAGATGGCGAAATAATCTATTTTGAAAATTACTCCAAAGAGCTGCAACCATTTGCTAAGATCCAATAGATTGAAGATTGTTCACCATTTTTCGAAGTTTTTTGTTCAGCAGCCTAATGAGTAGTGTATTCGCTGTAGTAAGTAGTACGGTACGTTTTAAGAATGCGGATAATGTTTTTTAATAACGGAAATCAATCTGGAGAATTTCATTAACTATCCCGCGTTTGGCTACCTCTAGAAAAAACTGGAAGGCATCTTGACCAAATTCCACTTAAAATGAAATCCAGTTTTCGAGAAATGCCCGGCGATTACAGAAGCGCTGGTTTTACCTTGTTGAAGTAGAGAAAATTTGCTAAGGAGCTAAACACTGATGCACTAGTCTTTGGACCAAAACGTAAAAATACACCTTATTAGTAGGAATTTTGAAATGATAGACGGATCTGCAGAATGTACGGTGATTGCACTCGCAAATGGCACTACAAATGACCCACGTAAGTCTAAACAGCTCGTTTTTACATCCTTTTTCCAATTAGAATGTCAGGGAACTTCCAACCCTTAACACCAAAATTGATTTCCGGGTGAGTGTATTGCGCCAATTTTATGCGGTCTGATATTTAATTAGAACATACGCTTGATGTTATCTCGGAGAATAGTCTACCAGATGAGCCCAAGAAGGAAGAACCCGATGTAACGGTGATACTACTGATGGGGACATGCGAGTAGTATGTCTTCTCGTGAATCCGCTTTGCGTTTTTTGAAAAGTGAGATCTCTTACGGAATTCGTGAAGTTACTCTGTAGCATCTGCTTGCAGTTGAGTAACAGCCAATGAATATCCAGGAAAGTTCAGGAAGTCGCGTTCTAAGGGAAGATGGATATTCAGTTTTGTAAACAAGGTGCATATGAGGGTTTTGTTTCCCTGTCCAGTAGTTTGTAACTGTTCAGTTGGCATTTCCTAATGAATAACCCCGTATTGTGTACACCTTTTTTCTTTCACCGGTGGTGGGTCATCAAACATTTTTGTATAATCTCATTGGTAATGTGTTTTATCGAGAAAACAACAGCTGAGCTGTTCACTTGCATCCCAGAGAACTTGCCAGTAAACACTGTGTTTAGTGAACAAGGTGTCTACGTCACCAAACGTGGAAAACGAAACAAACTCTCGATTCTTCACAACAAAACTTATAGCTTCCTTACCCTTTCCCAAGTGGGTCTTATGCATGTACACTTATTTCACTGAGTAGGCGAGGTTCAACAGATGCGAATTGGTTTCCTCAAACGTGATGGGAAACTTCACTGATCAGTCATATATTTAACGGTTTATTCAGTCTAATTATATCCCGGTATTCCAATTTTGGGGAATGCGCGTATCACCACAGAACAAAATAAGAGGAATCATGTGACTTTCCAGTCGTATTCAGCATTCATTCAAACTTGAAAGCGTCTGATATAATGTAAGGTTAAGCATTTTGTGGATATCTCGGATTGTATGACCGAAGGGAAGGTGTGAAAGCGCATACCGCGAAAAAAAATGTCATAAGCGTCTCGGTCTGTTAAGAACTTTACAGCTTACCGCTAAATTATTGCTCATCTGGGGCAACAAGGCGACAAGTTACGAACCTCGTGACCGAGCAGTTGTGGTAACAGCGATCGGGGTGTAAAATTCTTCCGAATCGATCTTACCCCTTATCCTGGCCTTCACCATAAAGATTACACCGAACCTCGTGACCGAGCAGTTGTGGTAACGGCGCCATCGGTCAAACGTGCGCGCAGAGTGTACAAACATATGATGGCTAGTCCATAAATCCAAGACTGAGTTGGGTGTGCCACCTAAGATGTTGTGTGGAGACTTTCAGACCGTTATCGGGACAGTATCTTCCTGCAGGACTGCAACCAGAGGTACTCTTGTTTTGTTGTCACATTAGTTTTTCATCAAGTGAGTTTGCTCTTCAAATTCAATCAAAATTTCATCGTTCTCCCGAAATCCGAGGAGCATTGACAGATACTCCGTACTTTTTTAGCATCACTATCTGTGTGAAACTCATATATCACTCCTCAACATTGGCTGGGTCCAACCTCATTCGACCACCAGTAGCTAGCAGCAAGACACAGTGCCTCCCGTCCTTTAACCACATTCTGAGCCAGACGATCCGATGTTGACTTGCTCCTCGAGTTGTTGCCATATGCATATCGATTTCTATCGAAATCTCAGTATCCCGTTTTCATTGGCAAAATCCGACTTCCTTAAATACTGTTTCTGCTATTGCAGGCGTGTTTCCTTAAAATGCCTAAGGTTGGAACATTCCTAAGTGGACACATCAGTTATCGGTCACTTGTATTCTTAAAAAAAAACTTAAACAACTTCATTATTTAAAGAAATCAGCCATAAAACATCACATGACATTTCTTACAGATTCTGTGGTTGTGAGCGTATATTTTGGCGGCCAAGTGATGCAGCTTTTATCAAGGTATAGCCACAGAATCAGGGGTTTTGAAGAAAACAGAAGCGAGAAATTCAAGCTGTGAGAGGTATTCATATACTGGTTTGTCCCATAATTAAATCAGGAAAACTCCATTCGTGGAGTCTGTCTCACGGTTGATTCAATAAGGTTGACAACCTACCGGAATCTCCGGAGTAGTGTTCACGAGTTAGCCTACCTGAACAAGTCGATCCCCACTGGCTGAAAGAATGAAGCGATCGTCGAATTCTACAGCGATTACGGAAGCTCGATGTCCACGGAGAGACGTCAGTAGGAGTACGTCCGTCGGAGAACTGATTTTCCACACACATACCGTGTGATCCTGTCGTGGGAAATTCAAAAGTAAACAATCGATTGATTATAGTGAACATAACAACTGTTTTCCGTGAGACGCTTTTGTTGAACACGCGTTTTCCGAAATATGCCCAGAAGTTACTACTGCAGCAGAGTGTTTCCAAGGCCTCTTAAAAGTGACCCTGGCACACTGCTCTACCAGTGTACAGCGAGTCAGTTTCTCAAATCACTTGAAAAAAATAAACGTTATCTGGGTTTACGAATATACACTCATTCGCAAACCAATTTGTTTTTTCGAGAGACTCACCTGGCACGCAGCTGAACTCCTCGGTTTTGATGTGAGTCCCTCGAAAAACCAAATTAGTTTGCAAATGAGTATATATTCGCTAATTTCGTGCAATTTGGTTGCAAGTAGAACATAAGGCTGACGGGAACTAGGGGACTGCGCCTACCTGATGAGCCCCAAGAAGGGCGAAACCGGTCGTGGGCTGTTGAGGAGTTTTCAGCAACCTTATGAGTAGTGCATTATAAAAAGTTATCTGGGTTTCTCTTTTAAACACATTTTACGGTGATGACCCACAAAGTAGGGAATATGATGGAGTCCCCCAGCGTGATCCCTTTTCATGGGGGAAGTCTCCTATGCGACGAAATTCTCAGTTTCATATGGCTGCCAAACAGACTCAAGTCACCCAACTAGATTGACAATAAAATTCATGTTTTTATGTTACACTCGGGCTCTTATTATTCCATTGCCTGTGAAATATGGTTAATTCACAACCGTTAAAGACAAATAAGTACACATTTTCTCGCGAAATCAACTGGGTTCTGCGCGATAATTCTCACGGCTTTCAGAGTGCTTTTCAGTTAGTTTTTGAATATAATCTTGTTTGAATTGTCACTTGATATCTTCACAACAGAATCTTAAAGTAGCGCAAGGGTGCAATACAGTATGCTCGAGTTAATATTCTATTGACCACTCCATCGACTGCTCAGATCTGGTAACATTCATACTAGCCTAAAAGTAAACATTCTCCTGTGACGCCAACTTTTTTCTGAGTTGTAGAACTAACTTTTCTGTGATTTCTCATCACGTTGGGGATAGTACTACTAGTGGGACAAAGTGGTGAATTCAAATTTTCAAGCAAACCAATACGTACACATCGGTCAACATCATCATCATCATCATCATCGTCATCATCATCATCACCAACACCATCATCATCATCACCATCATCATCATCATTATAATCATTATCATCTTCATCATTATCATCATCATCTTCATCATCATCATTGACAGCATGACATCAGTGTTCAACATCGATGCTTCACTGCCGGTAAGCATTCGTAATCAAACCTCGATCGGCGGTTAGCTGTAACGTCGCAGTTGTGAACACCAGTAAGATGTACAGGCAGAGTTCCAAAATGGATGTAACTAGCCTGAATATTGAATATCTGGGTATTGATCTACGCCTGAATTATCGACCTGATTAATCTGCGCTTATCTTACCGACAAGGCTTGCTTGTTGACGATGACTACAAATAACTGGGGGAGCCGTGATAGAGTAGGTGCTGCTCGGGACCTCTTATGGTTTGGCGCGTTAAGATTAAGCCATCGAACTAATCCATTGTATGCCAAGTTTATTTGTCAAGCCTGTTTTGCGGCGACAGAGTTGCGCACCCAGGCAGTTGGCTGGGCTAAAGTTGTCGCACATTGTCCGCCTTAACTGATCCCTGAAGAAGCTTGTCCCTGCTGGGGGGGGGGTGCTAGGCTCAATCTAACAACCCACTATGGACCCTTTTGAGAAGTTGGTATCCTGTATATCAATCCCATCACGGAGTTAGAGGGAAGGAGCCTGAGTGGAGGCCCCTCTGTGCTTCGGTCAGCAGGATGCCTTAAGGAGCTGTCTGCTAGAAGCAGTGCTCCTCCCCGCCTACAAACCAACTAACTCCCGCGGCTGATCCATTTCAAATCCCAAAGTTTCGAAGTCCTTCGCCTCACTAAAAATACCACTAATTATTTCGCCATGTGCTGCCGCCGGTCAGCTAAATGACCAACGGGGGCACCGATTCGATTAAGAACATTTGCATACAGTTTCTGTATCCTACTTGAATCGACGGGACTTCTAGTCAACCAGCAATGATCAGGTTGATCGTTATGTGTAAATACTCACGAGGTTAGCAAAGACAACTCACCCGAGAACCTGTGATCAAGATACCGTCCTTGAATCGCAAGCTCAGCACTCCAGATCTGTGGTGTCTGATGGTGTACAAATTGAATCCACTCAACAAACTCCAGAAGCGTACTGTGCTGTCGCTACTTCCGCTTATAAGTAGTTGGTTTTCGTATTGCAAACACAGCACGGAGCCCAAGTGACCAATGAGAATTCTCTCGCATTCCAATGTCATCTTGTTGTAGACCTGGATTGAGCCATCACGAACTCCACAAACAATATATCTTGGATCATACTGGAGGCAGTAGACCCCACGACTTCCGTCCGTGTGACATGTGATACGTTTGACGTTGTAGCGGCTGTGGGCCCAGTTTTGTTGGATGCGCTGTGACAAAAATGAAGGTATCAAAGTCTCAGGAATTTATATACTCTAATGAGACCGATGTAACTTGAGTATAGCTAAATGCATGGACATCAACCGTTGAAACAAGCCTCATGTGTGTTGATGTCCTACTGTTACTGTACACCAAGTTTACGAGAGACACGAGACACGGAAGAGAATTTCTGGAAGAATGGTACTCCACGGCAGATTCGATCAACCGGTTCATCGAACTGGATCCAATTTACGCAACCCTACGTGCAAAAGACCAACATGTCAACCGGAACACTCAATGAGGACCGAATATTGGATTCACAAACACAGAAACAAAGAACTCGTTGGAAGCAAATCAATAAAGGTCACCAGCCGGGACTCGTAAGGATAAAGGTCACTCCAGCATCGACCAGATTACCATGGCAGGAGATGCCACGCTCAAAGGTCACGTGGGCATCGGCGAATGAGGACACAGGACAACGGTGCAACCAATGGAACCGCCCATACGAACAACTAATCGTGATCAAAGGTAATTACCAATGGAACCTCCCAACCGAACAACTAACCGTGATCAAAGGTCTTTCCTGCTAGCAGCACGTATATTAACACACGCGTAACGCTACTCAACGTACAACAACACTAACCCACCTCTACGCACTATTACGTTTCCCAGTAACGCACTGATGATTTCACCTCAATTGGTGATAAAACGTTTGCAATCGAATTGCCCAGCTCAGCGAAGCAGCCAACGACCATCTACGCTACCTGAGCTACCGACGTTTTCCTCTATAGAATGCCAATTTTACTGTAAAGCTAGGTGTTATGCTGTCTTCATCGCGCCTGAACGACGTACCAAAGACATGTTTGTATACTTGGCGATTTGGTTCGCAGTGTAAACGTGGTGTTTTTCGGATCAAATGGGCTGATCGATTGTCTAATCCCGAATTACTTTGAAATCCAAATTCTGTTGCACTTGAATTCCGTTTAATGTGTATCCAGCGCCGCTGGTTATGTCATTTAAACGGTCCGCGGAAAAATAGAGTTCAGGTTCAGCCGCATCAGAGATTCTACTGCTGAGATACCTCCAGTTTGGAAAATAGCAACGCTCATTTTGGATCTTGGGTGGCGCTGACTACGGACGAAAAGGTTACGGAACAAGATTTTCAGTGCTACAAAAGAAATGAGGTATTCTACACAGGATCAGGCCTTCTAGTATCGCCGCAGACATGAGCATGTGCGGAACGTGCTGAATCATACGACCCTGTTAGGAGTAGCGTACTCACCGGCTAACCTGCTCAACGCAAAACAAACAAAACTGGGTTCTTTATCAGCTCCTGTTCGCCATATTGTCATCCTGAGGACCACAACATCATTAGAAGTGTCGTGTCTTAGCGATGCGCCGGGCTCGTAGTGGAACATACATACGGTACTCTATTGAGGGGCGTGCGATGAACATTGAGCGGATTGACGGATCTCGTCTGCTATTTCAAGTAACCTGGTCTAATGCTCAATGTTGTATAATCTCTTACCAACCAGAGACCTTAAAACGGCTCTCTGCACTGTCCCTCTCCGACTTATTTCATCGGTGCTACAGATTTTCCCACTCTACCTCATTCCTCGCTGTCTTAGGCCTTTAAAAGTACGCGAGGGGCTCTGTTCACCTGTAAATCCGATTGGGAGTGGACTTGACGACGTATTCTATGCACTCCTGGGTTTGACATGGTGCACTGCAGCTCTTCAACTAAAGCTGCTAGCCTAGCTTAAGTAACTGCCGGTGAATATCCGGTGCAAATAGGAAACCTTCTTTCAAAAAATCTTTTGGTGGAACCTCACCGATCTATCGTCCAAAGCAATGAACTGATGGATATAAACATCCGAAAAAAAGCACATGACACCAGACTACTGCTTGGCTTTATAAAAAAATTTGTCGAATTCACTTACCTCGGCTAGACGACACATAACGAAGTACAGTGATCGATAGAAATCCGAGTGCTGGTGCGAATAGTCTCGGCTAAAAATATCTGAGAGATCTGACAACCCCGTAGTTTTTGTGCCAAACTCATAGTCTTCCAGTGTGTGGTCTGTCACGTTGTTTGGGCTGAAGTGAAAGTATTTTTTCAAATCAAGTTGAATCGACAAACGGTCCCATAGTTCTTCACTCAGCACACGAATTTGTATGAGTCGTTGCCACAGGTTACCTCCACGAATCACCGCGCACCATGCTGGACAGACTTTCTCAGCAGCTGCAAGTGAACTGGCGTCTAAGTAGCTCAAAATCTTCTCGGCAATGTGGATTTGTGAGCATTCTGTGAAAGAATAGAATAAGTTTGAATTGAAGCAAATATCTTATTTCAGTTTTTCAGATGCTTCAGTATTAAGATGCACGTGGCCTTGAGCAATACCTGCTGGGTGATGACAAAAAGTCGGGAACGGATCTACCCTGTAGTTCGCATCAGAAAATACTCCAGAAAGAGCATTGGTCTTCTATCTGAGAAGTCATTACTCGAATGATGCATCAACACCAGATCATGTGATATGAAATAATCGACAATGAGTTCAGCTATCCAGTAAACGTGAAAGTTAATAACAATCACTCGTGGCGAAATAGTGCTGGGCTTGATATCACAGGTTCGAGTCTTTCCGGAATCTTGTGAAGCGCACATTGTTATCGGTTCTTAAAGAGCACGAAACAGCCATATAACTTCCGTCAAAACATCATAAAATCAACAAAGTGTTTATGCTCATTCGTCTCACTCAACCGTATCAACACTTGGTTTGAACAGTTTAGCAGCTACACACGAAGGCGATCCCAAGTTTCGATATCGGTCATGTGATCAGACCAAGGCGTTGAATCTCCGCAAGGGAAGATAGGCAGAGCGATTGAAATTTGTGTTTCTACCCACTACTTATAAACGAATTCACTTTGGCTCAAGACCTGAACGCCAGCTGGTCGACCTGAAACCTTGAAATGGGAAGAACATTGTAAAACCGACTCATTTGTACAAACCTATAGAAAGTAACTACAGATAAAAGTTTACCCTCCTTTGGGAAATTCGAGAAAAACTTGGGAAAATGTTAGGCCGACAACTCCAAAGGGGCAAGCGAAAAACAACTCAAGACCTTATGTTTTATTATCAGGCCCTATGTGTGCCTATCGTCCAAACATCTAACAGGGGATCACCAGCGTATTCGATAGGGAACTTTCTGGATACTCGGTGTGGTGTTACTGCTCCATAACCCCATCTAGTGTTGAATGCGGACTGACGTTATAGACAAGCTGAACCTGACCATCAGGGTCATGAGATCGGGAGGTAGAATACTTGCGTCTGACCAGTAATGGTTAAGAATGACCGCTTAAAGGATAGATCAACTGCGGCGTTGATTCCTCCAGTGAATCAACAGTGATCAGCGGTCATTTTTCTTTTATGTTCTGACTACTTACGAGTAGCGTGATTTACGCTTGTTTGTCATAACGTCATTTCGTTTCATTGCTGCTCGTTCCCCGGGTTTTCGCCCCTGCTTAAGGTCGGCTTATTCTCTTGTAACAGGCGTCAAGGTTTTGTTGCATGTTCGTTTTTGCCTGCAAGTTCGTGTCAGCTCTACCTACTTTCGTCTGTCCGTTCTGACGGAAAGGCGGACCGACTGGGGATCGAATTCAGAGGTCCTCGGATAGTAGGGACCGTCTCATCCGTCGCACCAACTTGACGCTGAAGGAGACCTTTATACCTTTGTACCTTTCGCATCTGCCTGCCGTACAGCCTCTGCCGAAACTTTTTCTAAACGGATCAAGGCGGGCAACCCGAAATGGCACGTGACACGAGCGACTGTATCACGCCATCAGTCAAAGAGAGTTTTTTTAATTCCCGAACGTAATGATTGTTTTCTGTTCCGTTATCTTTGTACATGGCCAATATATACTGACTGACTACCTGTTCACTATGTTTTTGCAACCCGTTTTTCCATAGAAGCAATTCTCGTCGATTTCGTTTCATTGCTGCTCGTTCCCCGGGTTTTCGCCCCTGCTTAAGGTCGGCTTATTCTCTTGTAACAGGCGTCAAGGTTTTGTTGCATGTTCGTTTTTGCCTGCAAGTTCGTGTCAGCTCTACCTACTTTCGTCTGTCCGTTCTGACGGAAAGGCGGACCGACTGGGGATCGAATTCAGAGGTCCTCGGATAGTAGGGACCGTCTCATCCGTCGCACCAACTTGACGCTGAAGGAGACCTTTATACCTCTGTACCTTTACACCGCATCTGCCGTACAGCCTCTGCCGAAACTTTTTCTAAACGGATCAAGGCGGGCAACCCGAAATGGCACGTGACACGAGCGACTGTATCACACCATCAGTCAAAGGGAGTTTTTTTAATTCCCGAACGTAATGATTGTTTTCTGTTCCGTTATCTTTGTACATGGCCAATATATACTGACTGACTGCCTGTTCACTATGTTTTTGCAACCCGTTTTTCCATAGAAGCAATTCTCGTCGGTTCTTAATGTTCTTAATACACTATCTACTGCCCTCGTCAGACTACCGCCCACTGAATACAAACTTCGTATAGTCCGATAGCTGCAATCGTCGTGCGAGGACCTTTGCTGCTCGGATCTTACATGCGACGTAACTGCGGGGTCAACCGCGGTCACCTTGGGTACCTCAGTAGCGACTCGCCCGACGGACTCAAACTTTTCGAATAGATGAGGCTTCTGACTTCTGGAGCGAACCGCCAACACAATAAATTTTTATTGCACGCCACTTATTCTGTTGTTTGTGTGATCACATGCTTAAGTCGATAAAAGTCTACGCTCATGCAATTTACCCACAGTTGACTTGATTTTGCAGATGTTACGGTGCCCTAATTCCCGCCATTAGATGCATTCAAACAGGTCAGCATGCTAAAAAAGCCGTATGCTTGACGGAAACGTGACGTGTGTGCACACTCTTTCCAGTCACTTGAACGTTTATAGATCGATATTCNTGCACCCTCTATCCAGTCACTTGAACGTTTATAGATCGATATACGGTGAAATTTCAGTGGTTCTTTTTGCATCACAGATTGACACGTAACACATAATTTGTATGCATTAGGTGGCCCAAAAATTTGTCGGATTAGATACCATCTTACCGCAAAACATTGTGATAAAGTCTCGACGGAGCATGCGATCGATAGAATTCTGTATTTCTGCGCACTGTTCGTTCGATAGCGTTTGCACTGATGAAACCAGAAATTCAATCTTCTTGTTCGTTGGCAAGTTGGCAAATAGAGATTTTAGAGACTGCTCGGGATCACTCGCCATTTTACGGACGGCCAGCGACAATCTGGGGTGGTTTTCTGGCCCGGTTCATCAGGTTCCAGTGAGTTGCCAATCAAAACGCCTGTTTTAAATTAAACGTCCAGGTTACAGTATAACATTGAAATTTAGATTTTTAAAATGAAAAATTTACGAAGACATGTAGATTACCACTCTTTGTAAGGAATAAGTGTACTACTCGTACTGGAGGACAAGTGGTGCAATCTGTGAGCCGAAGTTTCTCAAAATCTATCATTATCATCAGCGTCCTTATCATATGATAATTTCTGTCGATTTTAGGAATGGGTACGTTCATGTAGAGCAATTGTAAACACGATCTTCCAGTTGAAATTTTAGTACTTTTATTCGCCGGACCAGGGGTTCGTAGATCACCTGGTTAAGTCTATTTGGCGTCCACCTACTGTTGACTTTCTCACACAATCGCATGGCTTCTGGGAATTAATTTATCCCAAGAAGAGGAGGCGTTCAAAGCAGGAAGCAGGTTTCAGTACCCCTTTAAGTAGTGTGTTCACGGAATTATATTCTAGTGATGACGGATCACAAGAGCTAGTAAGTGCGATCATAAACTGGTCTAGGATCTCGTTCGCGTATGTGCTTGGGGGAGTATCTGTGGAATAGCTGTGGAATATCTGTCCCCCCTGACCTGAGGCTCAGGCGCTTTTGATTCTGAGCAACAGAGACCAGACTATAATATAGCGTGAATGTGACAGAAATTACTCGTCTCTTCATATGGTCGGCGGAGGTATTGACAGCTGGGAGTAAGTGATTTCGAGGGCTTCCAGTCCTTGTAGCAGAACTGTGAGCCACACGCAATATCTTGCTAAGATAGCTGTCCCTGAACAAGAAACAATTTATCTTGCGGAAGCGTTTCACTCCAATTTAGGGAAAAACTACACATCTCTGATGATAGAAGATCTGTAAACAGGAAAAATCAGAGATGTACGGCAAAAAGGGGCATTTGAGAGTGAGAACTTCGGTGATAAGCTGCTGTAAAAACACAGCACCGAAGCTGGTGTGATTAATCCACATAGCTTACCCCAATACAGATCGCGTTCGAGAACCCTTGACGACGATTAAGTAGAATAATGCACTGCGGCACTTGGACCACTTACAGCGTGTTGCGAACCTCGTGCAAAAAAAAATGATAAAATCGAAACATTTTCCGTAGAATTCACACAGGTGAATGACTCCTTCTATGTGTGAAATCCTTCTGCGTGATTGTCTTTTGATGACTTCGAACATTCCGACCTCGAACAGCAGAATGTTGCCTGATTGGATATGAGTAGTTAAATAACGGGGAAAATTTGCAAACCTACACTAATCCTATGAAATAAATTTCGTTTCAGGAGACAAATTTATGATAGCTGAGGACTGTGGGACCATGAAAGTTTAGGCGGAGATACTTCATCAATGGGACTTGTCAGAGTAATATGAGGAGATGAGTATAGAGATTGGGAGAAGTCCCAGAATCAGGAATCGGTACATATCGGGTCTTCAGGGAGGATAAATGGTTGTTCAGATGTCCACCAATCACCATAAAATTCACGGTCAGATTAACCAAGACCTTGTTTTAACAACAATCGTCCTCGAATCTAGTTTCCTGATTGTGAATACTGCTCAGTGGACGGGTGATCCTGTGATCAAAAGGCTGGAAGTGCTATCAACAGGTCACATGTGCAACCTTTGCACGCTACGCCTGATTAATCCAAGGAATAACAAGTCCCCGTGTGGTTCTACCTTTTGAAATATGACCGCAGGTGTTTCAATACATTTCATCATCATCGTCGGTAGCTTAGCGTGAGCGTCCAACACTGGTGCTTATTTAACGTAAAAAACGAGTTTGGGGCAGATGCTGCGACCATGATCGATGCAAAACGATCAAGATTATCAGTTCTAACAGATGGACTTAGAAGGAGAAAGTTAATAATGGGATGGGGAGAGGGGGAAGAAAAAGTGTGTGAAAGAGAAAGAAGGGGTATTCTACAGTAGCCTGTTTTCGCTTACGTGCCCTGCTCTATGCGGCAAGTAAGTCGACCTGACTGATGACACCGCGCGAGGGTAAATGTGGCATGAGGTTATTTTCAAATGCACATTTTATGGTTGTACATGGGTCGAGATACTTCCATTGTACACGGACATAAACAGAACGACCAAAGCTTTCGGTTAAAAAAGTCTAACCATAAGGCAGTGGTGTTTGGCGGAAAACTCAAGTGCAAAAAACATTTCTGTAAAACAAATCAGCACACATTTTTCAACCCCCATCCTGGAAGATCAGGAGACCGTGTTGGTCAGACCTCTAACCGGTGCCACACGGACACCATCCAGTTCACAGAGGCACACACAACGTCACACCAGTGAGGGTGGGGTCCAGTCTGTTCGTGACCCAACTTACGAATTAGAAACTTGGTGACTGACAAAATTTAGAAGCTGGCTTCGAAGCGGACAGTTCAAATGAACCAACTTCCGATGTAGAAACGTAACTAGAGGGTGATAACCATTATGTACCCTCGAGTTTTGAACTAGAACTTGATTTCTTTGTAACAGCTTAAGAGCTTTGTGAACAAATTGTGCCTGAGAGTCTATTAATCCAGCGGCATAAAGAAAATCTGATAGGACGAACGGGCGACTTGTACCTTTGAAACCCTGACCCAAACAAGGTAGTACACGCGAATATATCAATAAATTGGGAAACAAAGGCCGGTCAGATATGGGTGAGCCATACAGAAGCTTCTACTCACAAATTGCATCAGTAGTATGCACCACACTCCTATTGACCCAGTTGGGTAATTACTGTTAGGACGACGCTAAACAGAAGCAGTAAGCTTGCCAGTGTCCTTCAGTTATTTTAAATTAAAGATTCTAATCAATAATACTGAAAAATGCGACAGATTTAACTAGCAATGATTGCCTACCAGTCCTCGATCACCAAATCATGATGAATAAGCGAGAAATTGAGAGGCACATTAAACAGACTAGGTGACGTCTGGTATTAAATTCATCAGTTTTCACCAATGTTGAGCCAGCAAAGTGGGTTGCTGTATGATTCTGATCAGGGGAACATCAACTACCCTTTCGTCGATATTAGAATGCAGTACTCTAGCCAGTAAATAGTTTACACTCTTTTTCATGAAGGAAACTACTCCCAAGGTCACCGAAAACTCTTCGCCAGCCCACAACCGGTTTCGCCCTTCTTGGGGTTCATCAGGTGGGCGCAGTCCTGGAGTTTCCGTCAACCTTATGTTCTACACTCTTGCTTAATGCAGTAGGCTACATGCTGGATCGTGGAAAAAGCACGAATGTCAAAAATCAGAAATGTTGGAAAATCCATCAAATTTAACTTCTTCAAATGTAGTTGTACACTAAATGCATAGTGTTCATAGCAATGCAACGTTTTGACTTACCCGTCAATAAGTGTAGTTACAAGGCAAAACTCTGTAGGCTCATTATCACATTGACGAAGGACGTAAACCATTCACAGGAAATTGCAACAACATTCGTGGGTTAAGTGGAGACCGAACACACGACAAGAGAATGCACGTGACACACACAGATCGTTCTTGTTCGTTTGAAGACTTACACGTGGAGGCGTTGAGCATCGAATGTCTATTTCAGTCCACTGATGTAACTACTGTGAGAGTCTCGCAGCGTTCAGATATAATGGAGTTTTCATGAAATCAAGTGAGTTTTGTCACTGAGTACAATACAATCTTTGTTTCTGTGATGCTGAAGCGCACCACTCAATATCGGTTGTATCAAGATACCGAGCGATATGTTCCCACCAATCTGGTGAGCCTCAACCGTCACCTGACCAACGAGAAAGTCGTGTGACAATCAAGTTATTCTAATGCTGTTTTCTAAACGAGTCACAACGTTTTCAGATTTGTTCCATGTGGGGTTGGCGCCGTAGAAATCACTACGTTTGCGGATGAACAGCAAAGAAACGAGAGAGACGTCATCACCAGGAGCGCCATGTAAACTGATTTTGAGAATGGGAAGTGACAGTTTCATCATTCTAGTTTTTAGAAATAGTTCATCACTGAGACTATGTGTGAGATTCGCCCCCAATGTCTGAAACACTAATTCAAATTCACATTCTTTACTGGAAACCACCGCCAACTGTCTGTAAGATAAAATCTCAAATGCAGCTTCAGAGTTCATGTACCGCCTGAAAACAACAGCCACTAATACAGGCAGTTCCGGTGTATCGATTAAAACCATGTGACTGTTGTGTTCATGTGATCCCGTTCATCAGTCTCGCCTAAACTCACTTACATTACGCTTGAATCGAGAAGACCGGATACAGTCCTAGTCAGGAAACGAGAATAGCACATCACGCTCGTATGCTCGGTTGACAGATAAAAAACCAACCGACAAATAAGTTAATCGCGCAGGCAATTATGATTAGATGAATTCAGAGAAAATACGGGATTGATATGCCACCAAAAGTGATGATACACGGAAAATCAAAGCAAGCGATCACACAAAAGGCGAAATGCATTCATTTGGCTACTAGTTTGTTCTCAAGGGGAATCCGGATAAACCTCTCCTCTATGATTCTCTTCAACGGAATTTACTGTTTTTTTCTGTTAATAGTTCATATTCGAGATGTCGACTTGCGTTTACTTGATACAACACCGCTTCGATTCAGCTGCAGACAAGCGTATTTTAGAGCTTGCCTGTAAACTGATATTAAAGTAAGAACTAATTTTAGCACAAACTCAGGGAATGTAACTACCCAATTCGTTTCGAGAAGGATAAAACCAGCAGTTGGCTGACGAAGAGCTTTAAGCTACTTTAGAGATAGCCTAGTGTCATTTAAATAAACAAACACTCGCTCCTGCTCGGTGGGGCGGCTTTGATCTAATACCTAACTGAAGCTTTTAACTCCCCTACTAGACACTTGCCCTTGGATTTTAGTGCTTCAGTCAGGCCATGGTGTAAGAAGAAACGGTCAAGTGATATGTTGCTGATTTGTCATTTTCCAACACATTATTGATCTAATGAATGAGGAAGTGATACAAAGACAATTGCTCATATTGATCGGCACTCTTGAGTGGATACTCCAGACGCAGAAGTCTACAATATTTTGTGTTAGTGCAGTACTATTAGCCAGCATATCTCCTTGAATCTCCCCTTATCCCCTTCTGGGTCGTACAATCTAAGGCTAGGAAACTTACCGAGATTTCGCAAGGGATTTCGCAGCCATTGGTCACCACGGCCTGCAGCTTTAGACTAGCTCTTGAACGCCCGCATAAATCGAGAGCAGAGAAGGCACAAATATGAGCGAGGGCCTTCATAGTAATACTTTTAGAATACCGTTCTTGAAACTGTCTAAATACTCTAGGCTGTAGATAGTGTGATGTAACGCCACGATCGTCCAGCATTCGACAATCACTGACGATTGTTAAATCATATTTATGACCACTCCTTACTTTGATTGGTCTTTTAGTTCGGGGACATCCAACAATCCCCTGCAGAAGAAGTTTCTGTAGCAGTTGCTTGAGCTGAAATACTAGGACAGCGAATGGATTCGGGGAGAAATTCTCATCTTCAGATGCCGGTTGGGTGTGATGCAATTACTGCGTTTTATTCTTCACCCTTGGTGTTTGTTACGAAACAAGAGGCACACTGCTTTTGTAGGACGAACAGCTGACACTGGTCGGTGATTTGTGCTAGAATCGTTACCCAGAATTATTGTAGCCTAGCGCTAAAAGTGGTCTCTTTCGTAGACCAGAATGCTTCTGGATATCCAAACAGGGATTCAGGATTCTCTAAAAGGTAAACCCTCAGTCGTGCAGCATTCTGTGGGATCTGCTCACTGCAAAAGTAACATTCAGCGCTTCGATTTTGAAGCCGCTTACAATACCCCTTCGTTACCAAGGTTGAACAAGGTACGTGACAAAACATTTCTTTTGATCTGTACTACTCATAAGGTTGCTGAAAACTCTTCGACAGCCCACGACCGGTTTCGCCCTTCTTGGGGCTCATCAGGTAGGCGCAGTCCCCGGGTTTCCGTCAACCTTATGTTCAACTTGAAACCACGGAATTAGCGAATATGCACTCATCTGCAAACTAATTTGGTTCTTTCGAGAGACTCACCTGGAACCCAGCTGAATCTCTCGTTTATGATGTTCTCAGGC